TGTGGGAAACAGCAGAGCAGCATCTTTCACCTTCTGTCAGATCTGGCCTGGAGTGATGTTTTTCTTGATAACCAGAGGAGCCTATTTTTGTCTCAGTGCTGACTTCTTGCTGCCAGCAGCACTCTGGAGTGAATGAAGCCATGGCAGGCTCTGCCCTTGCAAAGCTATGCATAATATTTATGTTACACTATGAGGAATACTTTGGGAATTTGCAATGTAGTAAAATTCCTCTCTCCTTCTCCTATCAAAATCTCCTTTGTGGAAAAAAAAAATCTCCTTGAGTGTTTCTGATTTATAGCATTTAAATAGGGTGGCCATTGGGTCATTTAATTTCTTTCTTCAGCTCTAAATCTTTATTTCTTTCTGTGTTTTGTTCAGGAATCTGCAATGAAAGAGAACTAGATTCTGATGATCATCTTGACATTATTGCTGTCACCTGTGTTGACAGGTAAGTGTGCCAAGCTGGTTTTGGAGGGAAAATATTTGAATTATTTGTGTCAGGTGGGCAAAGCTACAGTTACAGCCCAGGACCTTAGCTGGGTTATGCTGGATTCTGCAGAGGTGAGTTTTTTAACAAACAAGTGGTCAAAAATGCTTCCAAAACCTTCTTGATCTCCAGAAAGGAAACTGTTCCTCTTTCTGCTTTGTGGTGGTGGGTGGTTACAAAAATGATCTCAGAGCAGAGGAATTTGCAGTTGAACTGCAGCCTGGAGTGAAGATGGCTGTAAGATCTCGTTGACTTTTATCCTCCTCCTCCACAAAGCACCTGAAATAAGAACTAGCAGGTAGAATCAAGTTATCATATTTCTTGTGTTAGACATTTTAACCCCTCCTGTTTTTATATAGGAGCATTTTATCAGTGAGGTCCCTGCAAATTTTCAGCTGATGTTAGGACTGGATGAAGAATTTATTGGATTTTGTACAGTTAGGTGAGAACTGATGGACCCGAGCCTCTTGTGATACAGCACAATCATATTTCTTTCATCTCTCTTACCTTACCTAAATGCTGCATTTTCAGTGTTCCCTATTAATAAAGACTTCTAGTCCCTATATTTATTATAAATGTCTTTATCTTTGCTTTTCTCTGATTCTTTCAAAACACAGTCCAAGAAGTTTTGGCAGCACTCTGGAGATGACTTAGAACTTCTTATGCAGAACAATTTCTTGAAGTAACATCACTTTCTTGGCTTTCAGTTTAGTAATTACAAAATAAATTGAAACATGAAACTCAGAAATCAGAAAACAAAAAGAAAAAGGACACTGATTGACACTTAGGTTTCCTTTGGTGAAGCATGATGCTGCTGTATGATCTGAAAACTAAAAAACTCATTTTCTCTGGGATAAGAGGAACTGAAGGTGCCTTTTCTTGCCCTGGCCACTGCAGGTGTCTGTGTCAATGTGCATTGATGAACACAGATCAAGGATTACATAGTGAGTCCTAACAGTGCCTTTGGATGAACACTGGAAGGAGAATGAAAATACAAAAATTATGTAGAATGTGTCAGCTGGATTGCTGTAAAGTGCATGGTGACATGAAGCAGTATAATTTGGATCAGAAGTCTGTAAAGATGGGAAAAGGAGAAAAAGATTTTAAAAATGTGTGTGCTTCAAAGATCAGCCCAATGAATTTCTAGCTTATCAGGGCATTTAATAATTGACTGTTTCCTTCTGTGATAGGGTCACTATCAAAGATAAGCACACCAATCTAAAGAGAGAGGTACAGAAACATGTGTGCAAATTTGGATTTTAAGTATTGTGTTTCACAATGAGTTGAGTTGATGTGAATAACTGTGTTCTATTGGCTGAAATGTTTAAGTTTGCAGGGACACATTCCACTATCCCAGGGTGCTCTGAGCCCTGTCCAACCTGGCCTTGGACATTCCAGGGATCCAGGAGCAGCCACAGCCCCTCTCACCTGGGCTGGTGCCAGGGCCTTACCAGCTCCTGAGTAAAAAATTTCTTCCTAATCTAAATCTCCTCTCTTTCACTTTAAAATTTATTCCCCCTTGTCCTGTCATTATCTGCCATTCTCCTCCTTTTATATAAGCCTCCTTTAAGAAGCAGGTAAGAAATCTCAGGTGATATGCAGAAGTGGCCACTCTCCATGTGTGCCTGAAGAACTAAGTTGAGAAATTTGGATTTATTAAGAACCACAGAAAACTTTTGAGGTGAGGCAGCTAGTGATGGCAAGTGTGGAAAAAACCCTAAACCAACCGTGAGGGGGGCTACATAAAAGCTGTGGGAGAACATTAAGCAGACATAAAACCTAACAGTAAATATCTTTTTAATGCTTCCTTTCTTTAGAAGTGTGAAAAAAAGTATTTCTAGTTTTATGTTCATGCTGAAAAAGGCTTTTCTCGTGCTGGCTCTGCCTCCTTTTTTCCTGCAAACAGCAAAGCAGAGAGAGGGTTTTGTAAATCTCATTAATGGGTATGTCCTGAAGGGTTTGGTTCACATGATAACCTTAATTATTGCCTTCCCTGCTCGGCTGCATTACAGGGAAAGCAGAGCTGCCTGCATGCTGCTCCTCCCCTGTGAGCAGGTGCAGGCACAGGTAGCTCTGGCAGCAGCAGGGACTGAGCTTTGCATCACAACTGCTCCCACCTGGAGGCACTGGAGCAGCAAAGTGAGGGGTGCCTCCTGCCCAGCCCCCAGTTTGGTAGAAACCAGGGAGCCCTTGCAGGCACCCTGGGCATCACTGCTTGTCATTCCTAGGCAGTCACGGTCACACGTGGGTGTCCTTCACAAAGCTTCTGTCAAATCCTCAATCAGCAGCTGCTCCTTGGGAACATTTAATAAAATCTTTTCCTAAATACTTTCTCCATGGCAGAAACTGATAGTAGTATGCCTGGAGTGCAAGTGATGCTGGTTTTCTTATTAGGATTATTTTCTATCCTGATTCAATCAAGTTTTTTTTTTTGTTTGTTTTTTTGCTTTTGTTGTTTTTGGTGGTTTTTTTTTTTTTTTTGTAAGTGCTTTTATATTCAGTTTGCATATCTTGATTAGGCTGTGATAATTTCCATGGCTGAAATCTCCAAAGTGTGCTGTCAAGAAATTATAAATGGTAATGAATTCACTTAATCAGGACTTCCAGGAGTACAATCAACGTGAAATCTAGTCAATTAGAAATAAATCTCTTTAAAGTATTTCTGGTTCTCCAACAGTCTCATTTGAGACCTTATGTTACCTGAGACTGAATTAGAGACCTACACAGACAGGTAGAAAATACACTTTATAAAAAATCACTGTAAAGGGGTGTAAATGAATCCAGAAGTTTAGGTGATGCTGAAATTTGCCTGAATTTCCATTATAAACGAAGTTGCACAGCCACCAGCTGGAGAAAAGTTATGGTACCAGCTGTGACTTGGCATCTTGCACCTTGTGTCCAGATTTGGACCCACCACAGTACAAGAAAGATAAGGGTTCTGTGGAGGGCCACCAAGAAGAAGGGAGCTGGAGTATTGCCCTGCAAGGAGAGGGTGAGATAAGCCTGGAAAAGAGCTGGATTTGGGGAGATTGCCCAGGCAGACCTGGATAAAAGCATGGGCATCCCAAACAGATCCCATTGCTGGACCTGCTCTGAGCAAGAGTTTGAAATAAAGATCTCCAGAGACCCCTGTGACCCCAATGACTTGGTGATTGTCTAAGGCACAAAGAATCCAAGTCCTTATGTTCAGGGGCTGATTTTTTCTTGATTCTGCATTGAGAGAGGGATACTTCAGAAAAACAGCCTTGTTGGTATCCTAAACTATCTCTAAATTAAAGGTATTGTGAGCAGATAACCCAGGGTGATTTAGCATGCTATTTATTTTAAATATTAAATTCCAAGCTAAACCTGGCATTTAAATAGCAAAAGCTGGAAGAGTTTATGGGTCTGTATTTTCACACAAGAACATTCTTTCTATTTTTTGTTTCCTTTCTTTTGCCTAATGGTCACAAACATGGATTTCATTCTGTTTGCCTCTTGCCTAAGAAGTGATATTTTATTTCTCGAGCTGTTTACTGAAGTAATAATTAAACCTTGGTAGTCAATGAGGAAACTGACTCTTTTAATTAGCTTAATTGGGTTGATTGCCTAATTTTTGTCTGGCTATAATTTGGTAAAAATGAGTTTCTTATCTGTATAATTAATTGAATCAAAAATCTCAAAGGTCAAGAAAATAATTTCTCAGTTTTTCTACAGAGTCACTGTGCTGCCTGGGTCAGTTTTGCAGATCACTTAACCTTTCTAAGCTTGCAGATATTTTCTCCAGTCTGTCGTCACCATCCTTCACCTACAAAAACCTAAAGAACGTCCTTGGTTGTGTCATGAGCTCAGGCTGGAGTATAAATTAAAGCCCAAGATATGCTTAGCTGGGGTTGGAAAATAGCTGGGGAGATGCAGGTAAGGTCAGAAGAGTTCCTTTTGCAAAATTACCTCTGATAAATAAAAAAAGTCAGGGAAGTTTTTCTGCAATTAAGAGAAGCCTGGAGACCATCTGTCCCTGGGAAACAGGAATATTCTGTTTCTGCAGACAGACACAGATGGGCAGAGGGATGGTGAGGACAAAGCACATGGCTGTGTTTGCACTGGAGTTTGGCTAATCCAAGGGCTGCTCACCTGCCCTGCTTCTCCTCCATCCTTTCTGGGTCACCATTTGTTTGTTGCTTCCCTCTGGATTAAGGAGAGAAATGAAGTTGGTGTGAAGGCCAGGGCAAATCTCTCCCTGCAGGCTCTTTGGAGGAGACTGGCCCGGAATTGCAGACCTGGAGCATCTGAGCTCTGTGCCCCCAAACCCCACCTGTGGACACTTGGTGTCCTCTGGAAACCTCAAGGGACGTTTCCTGCTGAGTTGAAATAGAAATGAATTCATTGAAACCAAACGAGAAAAAAACCCCCAACATAGACAAGGAGAAAGGGCAATTGATTTTATTTGTTGTACCAGCTCTCAAGCAAAGATAACTCATCCTTTTATAAGAAAAACAGAGCATCTGTTTGAAGCTTTGCTTTGTTTTTAACTGGCATGTTATTCCATTGATTAAACTAAAGCAAGCAATGAGACTATTCCTGCCAACACAGCAATCAAATGATATAGTAGCCCCCACTAGGATCACATCTGAGGAAAATTCAGGTTGAACTTCATAGCAAACTCTAAATGCTAACCTGTGTGCAAGGAGGAGAGGGAATCTGCTTCATTTACTCTCAGAGTCTGATCTAATCTACATAACAAGACAGCAGCAGTGCTTCTCTGTTAACATTTAATTCTGTTTGTATTTGAATTATCAGTAAAAAATGTTCTACAGGTAAAGAAGGTAAGCATCAAATGCAAACTAATGAGCAACTTTGTTGCTTTGTCCATCAGGGATGTGAAACTGATGTGAATATGTTCAACAAGCTTTGCTTTTTTTTCAGGCTTCTGTTGTAAATCTTTTTAAATTCTCTCGTGTCCTTTCCCTTCCAACATATCA